CGTGCCAATCTATTCAAAGTTTGGTGGGATTAATGGGGGTAGATGTTTGGGAGTTTATTAGGGTGATTGAGATCGAGAAAGCCGAGCAAGAATGAAACAGCTGTTCACAAGTGAACCGAAGTAGACGGCGTAGGAGCTGCTTTAGATGAATAATCCTTTCTTTTTCTGTGAAGAGTAGGCTATTTTCGACCTTAAGAGTCTTACATAATAATCCAAGCTTGATAAGGTGGGTGAGATGAACTTGAAGATTAGTGGGTGAAAATTCGTTGAATTAATCCAAGCTTATTGTCCTGGTGATACTCTTCATCAGTTTTAAGGGCGTGGGGCTTGGTGTACAAATTCGTGCTAGTTGTTTGTGTCTGCTGTTGGTGAATTTTGGTTGTACTGATGTATATATACTCAATCGAAGCTATTTGGTTATTGTAAAGATTGGGAGTCTGCAGCTTGGGTTTATTGTCGGGGCTTTGCATTTATCAGCTAAAGTGCACAAGAATCCCAAAGGAGATTTTGGTCTCCTATTTGCTAGGTGCAGATTGATGTATGCCTTTGATCTGGGTGTGATTGTGAAATCAAAAGCATAAATATGCGTTTGATCATCATTTGGGAGCACCGTTAATGAACCTAGCACCGACTCGATCGAGCCACCGATCTCAAATTCCCTTCTTCTGAAAATGATTCCACCATTTTTTGTGATGATTCGTCTTGGGACATTGGCACCATTAAAATACAAAGCCCTGAGTTTCTTTTATTATTAAAAATCAACACTGACCAAACTTTTATGCAAAATTCAAATCTCTATAAACTCCCAAGTACCCAAAATCAATCGGAAAAGAAGGATAAAATTACATCAGCTAAGAAGTAAAGAAAGACTTGGGCCAAACCTTTACTGGGTTTGGCAGTTGATCAAGTGTACGAGCTCTTCTTGTAACTGTCTAGAGAGAACAAAAAATGGGGTTTGAAAGGGTAATCTTCATGCAGGTCTAATGGTGTTAGGTCAGTGATATTAACATGTTATATCTAGAGAGAATAAAAAATGGGGTTTGTAATTGTCTAAAAAGAATATTACTCTAGTAACAATTATTAACGATGGAGTGATCGATTTATTATAAATTAATAATATTAATTATTACTTTTAAAATATTAATAGAGATAAGAGAAACTTACTTAAACTTTAATGATAATTTGTATAGTTTACACTTTATTTTTAAAAAAAATTTCTTATTAGATTAAGATGATTACAAAGTAGTATCTCTTCTAAATATTCTTAATCATTTGACTATGAGCGTTCAGTTGTTAAAGCTCAAACTCGAGACCTCAATAAATAATAGTTATTCCTTTAACCACTGAGATAATCTGATTCATATTACACTTTAATTTATTTAAGTCATGAAAACCTGTGAAATAATAAATAATCTTGTAAATATGTATACTTCTTTTGAAATTTTTAATATTACATCCACTTATTGGTTAAATACCATTTGAATGTAAAATAATTTTAGAAAGCAATATTTTTTATATTAAAAATTAAAAATGATTAATAGTAGAAATTTATTTTGGATAATAATATATTTTATTATTGAAAGTGATATTTTTTATAAAATAATTATTTGTTAAATTGTTATTTAAAAATTATGCAACAAATTAAAAAATCTGAGTTTCTTGCAAATAAAGAAAGAGTTTAGTTTTTTTTTTAAATAATTTATAAATTAATAAAAAAAATTACAAATTCGTTTTAACATTTTCTATTACGATGTCATTGTAATAGATGTTTCATTTATTTATTTAATATATATATATATATATATATATATATATAAAAGAAAATATCAAATTTTGAATGCTCTAAAGATATAGATGTTTAATTAATCAAAAATTATATAGATGTTTAACAAACAGTTAATTGGATCACCGATCGAATCGAATTTTCATTAATATAATTAATTGAATTGTGTTTGAGCTTAAAATATGTATTTAATATATTTAATATTTAATATATTATGTTAATTAACTGATTTTGAATCGAATTAACAATTAATCAAATATTAAAAAAATTAACCATTTTCTGACGGAATTAATGCAACTAATTCAATTCAACCGATTAATTCGGTTAGAACCACGAAATCAACGCCCATAATCTTCGTCGCAAGTAACTAATCCTTAAAACCACCTTTGATCCTGATATTAAACGCATAGCCTAAAACAAGGGGTGAAAACTCTATCCTTTTAACGAACTTTTGAAGACTAAATTATTTTGGGAACCATCGGCAAAACTGTTTGGACATGGTCAAGGTTCATCTTATAAGTTTGGAGAGAGAGAACACTACAGTAGTTCACTGATACACATAGATCTGAAATGGTTCACCTCTTTGATGAACGTCACTTTAATAAGTATTTTAGGAAGTGATGGTAGTACCTTTCGAACCACGTTCTCGTGCAGATATTCCTCACCTGAAACCTCATTAGTTACAATATTAAGAAAACATACATATGGTTTCAAATCTGGTGTCAGCATTTGAAGTTTTTATAGTTTGACTGTACGACTTCCTTCTTGCTTAGTTTTCACAAGTTGAAACACATTTGGAAATCCTCCTCAATTCTTGTGTATTACTCCATTAAATAAATCCTCTGAATTGTATCAGGGTTGCTTAATGGTCCATCTCGTCTTAGGCTACTGCATTCGTTTCACCATACATGAGGACCATTATTTAGGGGGGAAAAGTGAAATTTAGTATAACATGTTAAAGATAAATGGAAAAAAAATATTTACACCCCATTACTTTTAAGAAAAAATTAAGTTTTTGGACCCTATTTATAAATTTTTAAATCCGTTACCGCATGAGGAGCCTCACAGTGTCAGAATTCTAATCAACCGATTTTAATTTTGATAGAGGTTGGTCAGGATGTACTAAAAAGCGCTCAATTATTTTCGGAAAATTCTAAATTTTCATATAATATATATATTATCTGTTTTCACATTTACTTTTTTATTAAAATCATCCCTAACAAAAAATTATATATTCATTACTGATACGGTTAGGCCGAGTGGCCACAATAATTCTTCACAACAAAGTTGCATAACAAAATAAAGTAAAGAACAAGCAAGTCTTAATGCACTTATATCTGGAGGCCTTCCCAATAAAAGATATTTCACTTATAAACTTTCACAATGCAAGCAATAATTTAAATCCAACCCATCCTAACCTTTGGATAATTACAATCTCATCCTTGTACAATTTATGTGAATTATCCCATCAGAATTTTCTATCAAAATCCAAAGAGAAAATCCCACAAAATAAGCCTTATTGCATAGGGAATGGACCAAAGGAGGAACCGGTTGGGAGCAGTGACCCTCTAAAAAAAATTAAAGTATCATATATTTTAGATATTTTTTGTATTTTTTATTGATAATCAATTTTCGTCCTTTTAAAATTTTATAAATTCGCCATCTCTAACATAAAATCAAGTGTATGTCTTTATTAGCGTATCATTTCGGAGCATAAAATGAGAGTCGTGAATAATAAATTGCTTCAATATCATTGAGTTTTGGCAACCTACGTAATATTCATTATTTAAAAAACTGATGAATAATTTCAAATCAAACGTGACAAAAAAAAAAACTCAAATTTGAGGCAATAATGAAAAAATCTGAAACCAAATGACCCTTAAAAGTTTGTCGCGTAGGATGGGGGCCTAAACATTATTGCAAGAGCGGTCCAAATTGGTTATGTTTTCAAATGTCTTGTTAACATGTTGTTTTCATGGAAGCTGTGTTGGTGGGCTCTGCTTTTGCAAATGAAATAAAAACAGCATGTCCGTTTATCAGGCAGTTTACGTGGTTAGATCTGCTTCTGTTTTTCACCGTTCCTAATTCTAACCTAGAGCTCATAAAAGCTTCCTCGTTTGCATTGTTAAAACTAGACCTCGAATTTCATGTACTTCACTTGCAGCATATTCCTGTTTTATATCATGTCATAATCAGGGTTCAAAAATAAATTATTAACTTTAAAAAAATTCAAAATATAATTTTAAAAAAGAGATTAAATTAAAATTGAGGATCCTTCACATTTTTATTATTTAATTTATAGTTAACTTGTGTTGACGGGCGAAGAATTTAAGATCCAACTAATACAATTTTTTCTTGGATGAAAGGTCGTGTAAGCTTTTCAATTTACAAGTGGATGAACACGCTGTGACTCATTTCCCACACCTAAACTTCACTATTTCGTCAATTATTGAGGTCCCCAACATCTGATGGGACAGTTTTAACCTTATGTAGGGGAAGTATTGTATCCATACAATTATTTCAACCACGTGATAAAATCTTTTAATCAAAAAACACCTCAGATCTTCGTAATAAATTAAAATATTAAATACTTATTATACTACTAAATTTGAATAAAACATATTTCTTTGCGTAACTCGATAATTAACAACATATAAAATAATGCATATGTCATTATAAAGCCAATTTAAACTAACAATATTCAACAAATATCCTTAACGTATAGACTATGCATACCGTCCATAATATTTCACATGTATACAAATAGTGATGGATCGAGAGGGATGGGGTGTGGTGTGGGTCTCTAAAAATTTTAAACTTTTAAATATTTTTATATTTTCTGTTGGAAATTTGGTTTTGTCTTTATAATATTATAAGTTTATATTTTCTTAAAATTTTATAAATGTATCCCCTCTAAGATAAAACCATATATTTGTTATTAAACACAAATATCATATAATATTGACAATCATTAGGATTACCAAATAAATTAATTGATATACGACTTTATAATTCTCGAAATAGTATAAATACTTGTACAAGTGGTCGTAGTTGTAGTGACGAAAAGATTTCGTAGAATGTTTAAAATACGATGCCACCACACAATGAACAACACCTTCCCTCTCCCTTTCAGATATCTTGAATTACTAAAAGTTCTTTATATTGAACATGAACGAAATTATTCCATTTCTTTTATAAAAAGAAAAATAGCTTTTAAATGTCAAGTACACCTACTTCCCTTTCAAAGCTCCCTCCTCTTTCATCATCATTCCCAAACACTGAATCTTATATCCCTAAAATGGAAGGGTTGAGTTTCTTCGTAGGTGTTATAGGTAAACTTCAACAAAACATCAAATCCCTTTCGTCTTCCTATACATATAGTTTTAACATGTTGCTGTTCTTGCAGGCAATGTTATCTCAGTTCTGGTTTTTCTTTCTCCAGTGTAAGATTCAAAAAATCTAACAAATATAATGCTTCTTTGGTTTCATTTAATTAGTGTTTCTTGTTTTTGAAGAGGGACTTTTTGGAGGATAGTAAAGCATGGATCAACAGAGGATTTCTCGAGTCTTCCATACGTTTGCACATTGTTGAATTCAAGCTTATGGACTTACTATGGAATCACTAAGCCTGGAGCTTATCTTGTTGCCACTGTTAATGGCTTTGGCATCCTGGCTGAAGCTATCTACGTTGTTTTGTTCCTCATATATGCACCAAGAAAGATGAGGGTACATATATTGTGCAGAATAAATTGCAAATGATCAGATGAATGAAAGGTTTTATTATGAATGAATTTGCAGGTGAAGACTGGGATTTTGGTAGGGATATTAGATGTGGGAATTCTTTCAGCAGCTGTTTTGGTGACTCGTTTAGCATTGGAAGGAGAGTCTCGAATCGATGCAATAGGGTTCATGTGCGCCGCCCTTAACATCATCATGTATGGCTCCCCTTTAGCTGCCATGGTAACACCTTTCATTTCTTCTTTAATCTTTCCATTTTCTCTCTCATCCCGTTCCTTATTTCTCATCTTTGAATCTATCCGTATAACAAAATAAATAAATAAATAAAATATGGCATCGCAAATATTAATTATTTCTTTGTTTCGTTCTCTTTTAGCCAAGAAATTCAAGCTGTAGGGTTAGACTTTAAACAATCTTATACACCGGTTTTTTAGAAAATTAAATGATTGCATCCTTTTATAATAAAGAAATAGCAGTACAACATTAAATGATTTGATGAATCAGTGGGTGAAACGCTGCCTGCATTTGCTCCTCATGTTTTAGGGTCATGGGGACCATTTGCAATAATACTGTTAGTTTCTGTACTTTGTGGGTGAATTTTCTCAAGAATATGAAAAGAACGAAATATTTTTGATTAAAAAATTTAATGATTGGAAAAACATATGAATTTTTTAAAAATAAATTTAGTTTTAACTTTTAATTAAAAAAGGTCAAAGATCTAACCATGCTTATGGTTTCATTTTTATTATATTTTAAAGATTAGATATTTAAAAAATATTTATAAAACATCAAATAAATTATAATATATTTAAAATGTTGTTTATAAATTTATAAAAAAAATGTTACTTTATAAAATAAATAATCATATACATTATTATATCATTTAAATATATGTATATTGTTTAATTTTTATTATATAAAACAATGTTTTACGGGGAAATGGCATATTTTACCAAAAAAAATAAACAAAGGAAAAGATAACCCTCATAGAGATAGGATAAGGGATTTAGTAATGTCCCCGACCCCCTCAAAAGTTTTATAAATTGCATTTTAGCTCTCACATTGAATAAGATAGGGTAAGACCTTAGGTTCAAATAGTTACATATGTAGAGAGTGATATCTTCCATTGACGTCTTGAATTCGAGTAGTTACATCTATGGTGGAATGTTTTTTCCTTTTGAAGTCTTAAATTCGAGTAGTTGCGTATGCAAAGAGTATTACTTTATTGAATGATTATTATTTTTATGAATTTTATTTATAATCATATAAAATTTATGTTCATATGAGTTTTTCAATCCATATTATAAAATGTGACAAAATCTAATATATATCAACCACTATACAATTGTTTCAGAAAACAGTGGTCACAAGCAAGAGTGTAGAGTACATGCCATTTTTCCTGTCGTTTTTTCTGTTTTTGAATGGAGGAGTTTGGGCTTTCTATGCATTCCTGGAGCAAGATATTTTCCTGGGGGTAATTTATCTCTTCCTTTTCTGTTTAATTAATCAAGAAAAACATTATTAATTTCAATTTGAGAATTCAAATTTGAAAATTCCGATTTAATTTTTTTCAAAGGAAAATGATGTAAATAATAAAAAAATGCAAATATAACATTTATGATTATTTTAAATTTTGGGTAAAATACACAAATGGTCCCCCAACTATAGGGTGTTGCATTTTTTAGTCCCTATGATATTAAAAGTTACAAAATGTATTATATGTTCCAAACTCATCATTTTTCATTAAAAAAAGATGACATTTTGAGTTGGACGTTAACATATTGATTAGTATATGATAAAATCCGATATCAGAATCTCAAACGACTATCATATTCCAGTCATCATGTTAATGTTCAGCTCATATTATCGTCAATTTTACAGAAAACGATGAGTGTGGGACATATGAATAGTCGTGTGACTATTTTGTAACTTGTAATAGTCAAATGACTTAACAAAGCAACACCCTATAGTTGGAGTACCGTTTTATAACTTTTCATAGTCGGGGGATTCAATAAAGCAGTGTCCTATAGTAAAAGGACCATTTTTGTACTTTACCCTTAAATTTTATCCCAACTCATAGTCATTTTTTAAACACCATTATCCTCAAATTTATTTTTATTCAGGTAAAGAGCATAGAATGTCTAAAATGAATTTAGTTTTTATTTACTTTGGGTGTTTGATTGAGTATAGGTACCAAATGGAATAGGTTTTCTGCTTGGAACAGCACAACTAATTCTTTATGCCATTTATAACAAGGCAAGGCCATCAAATAACAGCATCTCACAAGGATTATTGGAACAAGGCTTCCCAAAGTAGCCCCAAAGAAAAGAGGGAAAAACTCAACACGTCCCTTAAATTTTCCGGTCACTCGATTTATGGTTTGGGATTTTATTTTATCATTCGTCCGATCACCGATTACATTATTATTGCAAATGAAAAATCTTCCTACACATGTATTGGATTGTTTTTATTTTTCTTTTAATAAGAGAAAAGTTGATATTATGATGGAAGATCGATTACAATGCATTTTTTTATTTTCTATCAAAGGTTTTCTTTATAGAATTACAATAATAAGAAAATATTATATTTTATATTTAAAAATTAACAATTGAGAATAATTATAAATCTCTAACATAAATAATAAAAGTAACATATACCAATAAAAATAACAACTTGAATAAAAAAACAAAAGGCCAACCAAAATGTTCAATTCTCCAAACGTACAGTGACCAAATTATCTCTTTTAATAATAAAATGACTGAAATACATTTTTTTAGTATGATAGATAAGTTTCTAATAGACTTTAACCAAACGAATTAACAAGGTAACATATATATAAATATAAGGGTAAAGTATATAAATAGACCCCGACTATAAGACTTTGTTTTATTGAGTCTCTCGATTATTAAAAGTTATAAAATAGTTCTTTGACGATTAAAAGTTACAAAATAATCTACCGAGAATAGGGCATTTCTTTATTGAGTCAACGACTATTAAAAATTATAAAATAGTTACCCGACTATTCATATGTTCTAAAATCATCATTTTCCTTTAAAAAAAACTGACGACAATCTGAGTTGTACATTAACCTGATGACTATAACATGATAAATATGATCATGGAATCTCAAACGAATATCATATCACAGTCAACATGTTAACATATGAATAGGTGAGTGATCATTTTGTAACTTTTAATAGTTGGAGAACTCAACAAAGTAATGTCATATAATCATAGGGCTATTTTATAATTTTGAATAATCAAAAGACTCAACAAAACACTGTCCTATAGTGGAGAGATCATTTGTATACTTTACCCTATATATAACTGAAATCCAAAGTGAAAATAGGTAAAACTCGTAGAACTCGAAAAGTTTGCGGGTCAAATCCAATAATATTTCATTGGGCTTAGGCAAAGTAGGCCTATGAAACGTCATCTACATTGAGTAGTGTCGGTTCAAAGCTAAAAATTAGTTATGTTTAAGTAACAATACTTCCATTAAATATCTATAATATTTTTCAATAAAAATGGACAATTTGATGGTAAAGTCGTTGCTCGCCTGTCCATGCAAATAAAGAAACAATTTCAATATAGTTTTTTAAAGGAAAAGAAAATGGGGTTTGCATTTAATACCAAGGACGTGCATTAAATTTGTGCCCTAAAAGTATGAAATGTGCCCTAAAAGCATGAATGGTCCCCCCCTCTTTTCTCTTCTTATATATAAAAAACTAAATTAGTTGTTCTCCTTGTATTGACAATACGCATCCTATAAATATATTTGTCGAACTCAAGACGTCAAAAGAAAAATAACACCTTTCTTTAACAATTTAAAACCCAAATTATTCTTTTATGGTCAGATTGAACGCAATTATAGCAAAAAAAAGAGGTAAACTACTTGTGTGTAGCTCTTTACCATCCTTAATTTTAATATAAACATTTTATAGAGAACACACAATGAATTAAAAATGGTAAAATTAGAATCAAATATTAGAAGGAATTAAATTAATCTATATATAAAAAATTGAATAATATTTAAATTAAAATAAATTTAAAATGTTATTATATTAAAAAATTTGGGCATAGTGTATTCTCCATCCCTTATTGGCTTCATCCCCGCCTGTATTGAAATCGGCCAAAATACATATGGCGTGTGTCGTAACCGGTTTTCGTCCGGGCACGAAATATTAATTTTTTGGCGGGGAAATTGATGTGATTAAATGGTTTTGAAAATAATTTGAGAGTCGCCATCGGCCTTTTGGGTCAGGTAGGTCGAATACCTAAAAATTATTTTTTAAAAGAGTTTTAAGAAAACATCAATTAAAAAATGAACTGATCTGCGTTTATAACCAAAAATTCGTTCTTTTTAATAATAAAAAGGGATTCGTGGTCGGTTACGTTTAAGGAAGTATTAGCACCCCTACAACGCCCAAAATTGGTACTTTTTAATTATAAATTGTCTCTATTATTAAAATTTAAAAATTTAAAAATATATATTTAATTTATAATCCTATTATTTCAAAATTATATAAAAAATATTTATTTATTTAAAAATATCCGAAAAGAACTTCTAGGTGCCTTAAGACAACTCTTTTCTTTGATATTGATAAATATTAATTTAAATAATATTGTTTACTTTTTAATTTTAAAATATCAGAATAGGACATCCAGTTGTATTAAGACTGTCCTTTTTCTTCGATATTAAAAATAAATATTTTTAAAAAAAATACTATTTATTATATATTTATAAAAATATTTAATAAAATATTTAATAATAAAAATACAAATACTACTAAAACAATATATTTAAAAACAATAAAATAAATGAAGACATATAAAATAAATAACTAAATTATAATTAAAATAAAACTAAATCTGATTCCTAATTAATTGAAATTATAGGGATTAAATATTTTATCTTCTAATTTAATAATTTAATGACCAAAATAAAATTATCTAAAATTCGAATTTTATAATAAATTAAATTAAAAATATAAACTAAGGATTAAAATATTATTTATTAAAATTAAGGGATTAAATTTGTCATTTATCCTAAATATATTATTTTAATAAAAAGGACTAAAATGAACAAAATTAAAATTCAAAGACTGAATTAAAATTATTATAAATTCAGTTTAGTGACCAAAATATAAAATTTACAAGTTGGGAGGACTACGGACGGGATTTAACTATTTTGTAATTACGCGCATAGTCCTTCCCGAAACGACGTCGTTCGGGAAGGACTATAAGAGTCCAAAACCGGCTGGCCCGAAGGGCCAACCTTCATTTTCCATTTTCTTCTCTCTCTCTTCACTGAGAGAGTTTTAAACTCTCTGCCTTCTCTCTAGCTTCCCTCATCAGAGGGAAGCTGGTTACCGGTCGGCCACCGTGGGCCGCCGTGAATATCACCGCCGGCCACCGCATCCGGTGGCCGGAAAAAAATATTTTTATACGAATAGATAGATCGGACCGTCCTAAGGACGGTCCCGGTGTTCTCTTCCTTTAAAAGGCTCCTAATCGGAGCAAATCTTATAAAAATACCTTCGATGTTTCGAAGGTTCTGACGAGATCCGGTGGTCGACGCTTCCTCGGTAAGTCTCTTCTTCCTTTTTCTCTCTTTTTTTTCTTCTGGTTCTTTGCTGCTGAGATCGTTGGTATTAGTTTGTTTTTTTTTTCTTTTCTCTGTCTTTTTCTTCTCCGTTCTCTGTTTCTAGTTTTTGTCCTCTCTTTTTTTTCTTCGCAGATGGGGTGGTGGCTTTTATAGCCACCACCGGTGTTCGTCTCAGACCGGTCCGAAGAGGGGGCCTCGGTGAGTCACCGGACTACCAGTGGTGACTCACCCCGTAGCCTTGCATGGACGGCTGGTATATGATCTTCTGGAGTCTTCGGTTGGGACGTGGCAGCGGCGGAGGCGGCGAGGGTTGTCGGCAGCCGCGTGGAAGCTGGAGCGGCGCCGCGTGGCCCTAAGGTATCAAACCCTAGGGTTTCCTTCTGGCACCATCTGGACCGTTGGATCTTATCAGATCCAACGGTTGTGAGCTGAGGCGGCTGATCAAATTAGGGTTAGGAAACCCTAACTGGAAACCCAAATATTTAGGGTTTCTGGTTGGATTTGGACCGGTTCTGGTTGGTTTGTAACTGGGCCGGTCCAATTGTAATTGGGCCTGTAATTATTATTTTTTTAATATATTTAATAATAATAATAATAATGATAATAATAATAATAATAATAATAATAATAATAATAATAATAATATTAATAATAATAAGGATAATAATAATATTAATAATAATAATATGGATAAAAAAAATTTAGTATCTTCAGCTGCCCCTCTTTGCTCATTCTTGTGTTAACAAGAATAGGGCAAAGATGAAAAGATAATAAAATTTTTTATCCATTTGACTTTACTTTGATCATTATGGAGATATTGAATAAATTCTTCTTTTTCTCCAAATAAGTTCTTCTTATTATGAACTTTCTGCTGGGGATGATGATGACCTCCTTTTTGTGATAGAGTCATTCAAAAGGTTGAATAAGCTCTTGATGAGTTCTTCTCATTATGAACTTTTTCTTCCTTCTTCAGATGAGTTCTTCTCATTATGAACTTTACCTGGAAAAGATGATCCACCAAATGATGGATTCAGGTAAAAGGTTGAACAAATTCTTCTCATTATGAATTTCTTCTTCCTTCTTCAGATGAGTTCTTCTCATTATGAACCTTCTCTGGAAAAGCTGTTCCATCAAATGATGGATTCAGGTAAAAGGTTGAACAAATTCTTCTCATTATGAATTTCTTCTTCCTTCTTCAGATGAGTTCTTCTCATTATGAACCTTCTCTGGAAAATGTTGATCCATCAAATGATGAATTTAAACAAAAAGTTGAACAAGTTCTTCTCATTATGAACTTCTTCTTCCTTCTTCAGATGAGTTCTTCTCATTATGAACCTTCTCTGGCAATGTTGATCCATCAAATGATGAATTCAAGCAAAAGGTTGAACAAATTCTTCTCATTATGAACTTCTTCTTCCTTCTTCAGATGAGTTCTTCTCATTATGAACTTTACCTGGAAAAGATGATCCACCAAATGATGGATTCAGGTAAAAGGTTGAACAAATTCTTCTCATTATGAATTTCTTCTTCCTTCTTCAGATGAGTTCTTCTCATTATGAACCTTCTCTGGAAAAGCTGTTCCATCAAATGATGGATTCAGGTAAAAGGTTGAACAAATTCTTCTCATTATGAATTTCTTCTTCCTTCTTCAGATGAGTTCTTCTCATTATGAACCTTCTCTGGAAAATGTTGATCCATCAAATGATGAATTTAAACAAAAAGTTGAACAAGTTCTTCTCATTATGAACTTCTTCTTCCTTCTTCAGATGAGTTCTTCTCATTATGAACCTTCTCTGGCAATGTTGATCCATCAAATGATGAATTCAAGCAAAAGGTTGAACAAATTCTTCTCATTATGAACTTCTTCTTCCTTCTTCAGATGAGTTCTTCTCATTATGAACTTTCTCTGGAAAAGATGATCCACCAAATGATG